ATATATATATATATATATATATACATATAATGTGTTGATCATTTAACTGATTTGGAAGAGTGAAAGTATCTTCTAATGGCTACACGAGTTCTCATTTTCCTTTAGTTTTATGAGATTTAATATGCCCAAGTGAGTTTTTTCCTATTGCCAAATTTCTTCTTTCTCTTTATGGCTTTTGGGCTTTCCATCATATATAGGCTTCACTTACTTCAGCTATAAGAAATACTTGGTTTTTTTCCCTGCTTGGTGATTTTTAACCAACTTGATTTAAATCAAATCCATCCAAGAAATGCGATAGGTCAGTTTTATAACTACTCTGAAGAGGATATGTAATCACATGTACTGGAAACTTGACTAATTTCAGAACAGTCCAGGCGCTGAATCAGTTCTCATATGTGCTGTGTCACATACTCCCTGCCTTGGTTCCCCTAACTGGTATTTCTGTTTGTATACTATTTTCTTCAGTTGAGGAAGCGTGTGAAGCTTGAAGGGAAGGAACTTGAAGAATATTTGGAAAAAGAGAAGATTAAGAAAGAAGCTGCTAAGAAACTTGAGCAGTCAAAAGAGTGGGTTATTTTCAGATTTTAAGTTTTTATATATATAATTTGAGAACTTACTCCTAAGATAGTATATTTAATTGAATGTATTTGAATTTTCTTTTGACTTCATCACTTTTAACTTTCAACTGATATAGAATTCTTTCAGTGCTAATATTAATGTGTTTGTTAACTGATGGTTAGGTAAAGCTATTTGTTAACACAAAATATCAACTCAGTAATAGCATAACAATTCAATATAATTTTGTCAAAATCAAAATCTTGGGGACTTCATGACCTCTGTTCTCAAACCCTCTTAGGGCAGACATAGATTCCAGTGATGAGAGTGACGTTGAGGAAGATATTGACCAGCCATCAGCTCATAAGACTAAGCACGACCTGATGATGAAAGGGGAAGGCAGTCGGAAAGGAAGTTTCTTCAAACAGGCTAAGAAGTCTTACCCTATGTTTCCTGCCCCAGAAGAAAGAATTAAATGGGATGAGTATGGAGAAATTATCAAGTATGTAAGCAAAACAGGCATTTTCTTACCATAGTGGTATTAGCTGTGTTAACGTTTGAGCTTACTTGAACTTCTGATCATCACATAGTTTGTGTTGAGCACCTCAGCTTGAAAGATGTTAAAAATTTGCTTGAAATGTAAAACCAGTGTTGAGGAACATTTAGAGAATTAATGGAAAAGGAAAACTGGTTATTTTATTACTTCAGTATGTGACAGGTTTAAAAAGATGATCAAGACTTATTATCCTGACTAAAAAGAGAGGTAAGGGGCTTGCATTGGAGAAAGGCCTAGAACAGGAAGAACTTGCAGTGGATGGGGGTAGCTTTGGGGGATGGGCTATGTCGCAAATAGTGCTGCATACATTTTAGTTTCAAGAGGAGCGTGGAGAGAGCATGGGTAGAGCCATGGGAAATCTACACAGGGTGCACCTCCTATTGGAAGACAATTGAAGTCACGTGTTCTGTTCACACATTTGAAAACACTGCTGCCCGGTGTCAGGATTCTTCTGGATCTCTTTGTTTTCCTGGTGCTTGTGAAGTGCACATTGTCTCTCGTGACCTGGTTTCCTCCATTTTTCTGTTACATGTCTCAGAATTTCTGTTCTGTCAGTACACTCGCCCCTCTGGTGCTACCGGCCTTCTCCATGGCCTTCTGTGCAGTTTTCTCATGTCTACCTGTGCACATATCTCCCTTAAGTCATTTTTCAGGCTGCTGAATATGGCTCACAAACTATTGGAAACTTTTCCTGTCTCCTGCTGGCCACCCCAACCCAGTTAGTTTCCTTTCATACTTGCTTTGTACTTCCAGAATGCTGGCTGCCTTGAGCACGTAATGGACTTAGGTCATCTTGGACATAATGAGGGAAATTCCAGTGTCTGCCTGGCCCTCTAAAATAAAGAGGGGCAAAACAACAATTAAAATAATAGTATTGGTGAGATTGCATACCACTCCACTTAATTGGTGGCCAGTCTGTTTAGCACATGGGCAATGCTCTCTAGCATCATTTTCTTACCTAAAAATAGGGAGAATTAAGTGAAGCTGTATTTTTGAGTCACTTAGCATAAAATCTGACTCACAGTGAATGCGCTTCAAGTGATTGCTACTGCTGTTATCACATGGATTACAGTTGAAGATACTGAACTCCAAGGCTGAGAAGCTGCTACAGCCGTCTGAGTGCTGGGTAACATAGGCTTGGATCTCAGGGGAGAGTGGTTTGGAAATAAAATGGATAGATGTCTTACTAGTTTGTGGAAATGAAGGCTTTGAGGGTGCTAGTGATTTTGTATCTCAGTCTTCTCAGTGAAGTGGAAGTGGAGAGCCATCTGCTCTCTGTGGGTCCGGAGAAAATACCTGGGAGTCTTAAATAAAAGAAAGTCTGGGATTTGCAAGGATTGGGCGTTGGCAAGGGAAACCACAGAAACTGAGAAGAGAATTGTTAAAACAGCTTCAGGGCCAGGTTGCAGACATACTCGTGACAACCACTAAGATCTTCTAACGACCTGTCTGGGACTTTTCTCTAGGCCACGTGGTGTGTTTTAAAGATCATTCCTAAAAGCCACAAAGAACGTCACATTTGCAGTCAGCTGGTAATTGATATTGTGAATTGCCTTGGCTTTGGATCAATTGTGTATTTTAATCTTGAGGAGCTTAAAAATTATGCCATTTTACTGACTAGTTTCATATATATTATAAAATAGTAGCTTGCATGTTACTATTTCTAATTTGAAACCTATTATTTAGACCAGAGGATTTCTTAGTGCCAGAGCTTCAAGCTACTGAAGAAGAAAAAAGCAAATTAGAATCTGGTATGACAAACGGAGATGAACCCACGGATCAGGACTTATCCGATGTTCCCACAAAGTGTATCTCCACAACAGAGTCTATTGAAATAAAGTAAGTGTTCCTGTTGCATTTTGAAAATAGATTGAAAAATAAAAGTTCAAGCAATTGAATTACATAATTTACATGGTTTCAACAGTAAAGTTTCTGAATATCCTCTAGTTAAAGTTTAGCTCTTTAAACTGTGACCTGTTTCCATGCAGGCTTGTAAATATGGCAGTAGTTTCTCCTCCTTAGACGTCCAAGGGCCAGAGTGAATTGGAAACGAGGAGGAAGCTCAACATGAAATTGTATGTTTACATGAAGGCATGTTCTTTCTGGCCTTCTTAGTCTGATGGCAGGTTAACTCGAGCAGTTCCCAGGTTGAATTTGTCTCAGTGTGTGTGTAGCAGACAGACAGCTACCCTTGTCCTCCGCATCTCTAATGTATCAACATGTCCTGTGATCAGAAGTAGCTAAGAAACCAAAACCTTTGCCCCTCTCTTTTTTTTGGTTGGTTGATGATCCTTTTAGGATTTGTTTTTTAAGTCAAAGAGCAAAGTGGTTAATTTGTCTTGATGTCATTTAGTATTGATGCTCTAGGCTATAACTAAGGTTGAAACAGTGAGTTAGTCATACAGGTGCACTGTAACACATGCACCTTCCTGAGGTCCTCACTTTACATAGTGTGTACATTTCTTTCCTGATAACAAAAGCCATTAACCTAATTTTTGAAAAAGGATCAGAAAAGTAAGCTGGAAGAATTGTGTCTAATTGCAGAGCCAGAGTTACTTACATAGACTATGAAGGACGCTCTGATGGGGATTCCATTAAAAAAATAATTAATCAGATGAAACCACGACAACTGATCATTGTCCATGGGCCGCCAGAGGCCAGCCAGGACCTGGCAGAGTGCTGCCGCGCGTTCGGTGGGAAGGACATCAAGGTGTATATGCCGAAGCTGCACGAGACGGTGGACGCCACGAGTGAGACACACATCTACCAGGTACGCAGGCTGCATTTGAGCCACGCAGACATCGCGCCTTCTGCCGCGGTTAGGAAAGATGCATCTGGAAGACAGTGGTGCGAGAGATAGACATGGCCCTGCCCCTAAATCTTAGGGCTTGTGGGGCTTAGAACAGGATATCACAGGGACCACTCAGCTGTACACCTCTGGTTGGGCCGTGGAGGGTGCAGTGGGATCAGCTAGAGAGAGACCCCAGCTCAAACTTGGAGAATCAGGAGAGATTTCCTGGAGGTGGTAGTGACAGCTGCACTGGATCTCAGTGGGTATTTAGAGGATTGTCAAGAGTTTTATAAAGGGGAGTGGGGAGCGTGGGGGAAGACTGTTTGGGCAGAGGGAGTAACATTTGCAGAGGGCATGATGAGAGTACAAGAATTCAGAGTTTTGTGGAAGATCACAGATGTCAGTATCCTACTCCTTAACAGAAAGGTGGGGCGGTCGAGAGCACAGGAGGAGCACAGCAGAGAGATGAACTCAGTGTTGGGGGGATGGTGTCAGTTAAGACAGGAGTGATGTCCGTATTTGTTTGGAAAAAATAGATTGGAATTGACCAAGCAGAAAGGTGATTCTGGGAAGAACAAGAGGAAGCAGCAAGGATGCGGAAAAGGAAGCAGCGCTCCTGCGCTGGCGCCAGGGACTGTCGGCAGAAGCCGCGCGTTGCCGGTGTTCTCGGCCTTGGCTGCACTTGACGATCATCTGGGGAGTGTTGGGGGTGGGAGGACTTAGCTCTCCTCTCTCAGCCACACCACTTACTTTAGATCACTTGGTGGAGGTCCGGCATTCGTTTTTTTAATGGTCACGTGATCCCAGTGTGAGTCAGGGCTGAGAACCTGACTCTGGAAAGTGAGCGGGACCCTAGTGGCCTTAGGGGTCCCTGCTGCTCACAGCAAGGACCAGAGGAGTGGAGGTCTTCCGAATTCAGTACACTTGACCAGACTAGCAAATGACCATGCTAAGGCCGCGTTTGTTGTTTTCTGTGGGTTTCATCTCTCTCCTTTCGCATATGTAGGTGAGATTAAAAGACTCCCTCGTCAGCTCCCTTCAGTTTTGTAAAGCAAAAGATGCTGAGTTGGCCTGGGTAGATGGCGTCTTAGATATGAGAGTCTCCAAAGTGGACACCGGAGTCATTTTAGAAGAAGGTGAGCTGAAGGACGATGGAGAAGACTCAGAAATGCAGGTGGACGCTCCTTCCGATCCGAGCGTCATTGCGCAGCAGAGGGCCATGAAGAGCCTGTTCGGAGACGACGAGAAAGAAGCAGGGGAAGAGAGCGAGATCATCCCCACCTTGGAGCCTTTGCCGCCTCATGAGGTGAGAGCATGCCCTTCTTCATGTGTTACATGTACACATTACCCAGGGAGTGCCCCTCTGCGCATGTGGCCAACCCGTGTGGCTAGAGAGTGTTAAAAAAAACTTTTAGCAGATCTTGGAAAGTCGTCATTTTTTCACGATTTGTTTTTTCAGTGTGGATTTTTAAATACTAAGTTTTCTGTGTGAGGCCACGCTCTAGCCAGGAGTGTCCCAGCTGGCTGAGTGTCACACGTTCTCAGTCCATGTTTGAGTGTTGTCAAGTTAGCTCAAGTCGCTTTTGGTTGTGATGCAGTTGGAAACCTATAGAGCCTGACTCTGGAGAGTAGACAGGGGACTTAGATCTCAGGGGCCCCTCTTGCTCGTGGTAAGGATCAGAGGACTGAAAGTTTTCAGGGTTTAATACACATGACCAGAGCCAGAAAATGAAGGTGCAGATACAGTTAGTATTTACATGTCCTTGAGATTTGTTAACTGTTAAAGATTTCAGGTCATTAACTTACAACAGTGTTAAAAGTCTAGGCTGAGACCTGCACTTAAGGCAGATGATATCTTTTTCCTCGCTCTGGGAGGATGTATGAAGACAAGCCACAGTCACTGGGTTCCTTCCAGTGATATGCCTGATACCAGGAGGAGGAACTAGGAGCTTTGTCTCTGTCTGAAGCTGGCACTCCTCAGAGCAATCAGAGGGATAGCGTTAGGTCGAACCTATGGTTCTGAAACACATATGTGCTCTCTGAGGGGCAGGCGCTGGGGAGGGAGAGTGCACGCGGGCTGGGGAGAATCACCTTCCCAAGTAAGTGAAGTCCTAGACTCTCGAGAAAGTTTTCAGTTCAGCTCTGCCTGCTGGCACTCTGGTTGACCCCTTAGGCAAGTGGGTGAGTGAAGAACATAACATTACCAAACGTCTCCGTGGTTATGAGGCATGACTAATAAAATTGATTGTGAAACATTCAGAAAATGTGAAGGGCTTTGTAATGTTAAGTAATGAGATGAAATTCAGAATAACAGCTTGGAACGCACGGGCTTGAGACGATCAGTCAGACTTCAGACAGAACATACCTTAGAGATCATGTGTACTTATTTCACCTTATTCAGGACAGATGTGTATGTGGTCTTTTATTTGGAGTTATTCTTTGCCCTTTTGCCTTATCAAAGGTTCCTGGACATCAGTCTGTTTTTATGAATGAACCAAGACTTTCAGACTTCAAACAAGTCCTTCTGAGGGAGGGGATTCAGGCCGAGTTTGTAGGCGGTGTGCTGGTTTGCAACAATCAAGTCGCAGTCCGCAGAGTAAGTGCTTCTAAGTAGAGGTAAACTGAACAGAAGCTTCTGGTTTTTAGTCCCTTTGAATTCCGTAGTTCTCGACTGGTAATTTCACAGAACTTGAAATCAGTAATTTCTTTTCATAATGATGACCTTGAAGGCTTATAAAAGTGACTCAGAAAGACATGATCTATAACTTTATTGTACATTTTTATTATTGGAATCCTCTGACATTCATGTAAAATTCATGATTTGAATATTACATCCATATTCTGTGAATCAGAGCAACCCATTTCCTGACCAATCATAAAATAATTTAGTTAATATATTTTGGTTATGTCTGCATAGTAATGGATAGAAAATGTACTAAAGAGCTTTTTTTTTTACTTGGTTTCTAGACGGAAACGGGACGTATTGGATTAGAAGGCTGCCTTTGTCAAGATTTTTATAGGATAAGAGACCTTTTATATGAACAATATGCCATTGTGTAAAGGACATGATGTCAAGAAGTATCTGTTTGACCTTTATACGCAAAAGGATTCGTACTCTAAGCTTTTGCTTTTTTGTTTTGTAACATACAAAAAGAATCTGCCAGAAAACTTAACATGCATTACATTTTTAAAAATGTAAATAGAAACCATTTTGCTAATATTCAAATGAGCATCCTGCCTGTTCACTTTCTGAGTGACAGAGACCCTACCAGGTGTGCAGGCCCAAGAGTTGAACGGGATTGGTTTCCTTCACAGACCCCTTATTCTAGAAGGGCTTTTTACTTGAATAAAACAATGCAACTTAGCAAACCAGCTTATCTAAGCCTTCTATAGGGACACATGTTTGCATGGGTTCTTGCAAACTCTTTCTTACCTTTTCTAGAAATGAAAAGTGAGAATTATTTAGAAGAGATGTGACATTAAAAAAAAAGCTGATTAAACTGCTTTTGAGGCATGTCTGTTTAAAAAACAGTATATGGCGTATGTGCTCTTTCTTTCGAATCCTCTCAGGCAGTTGTTTTCATGTGGAGGTATTTAAACCCTGTTTCTGGTGTACACTGATTTCCTCAGGTGTGAGGGAGAAAACATTCATTTCAGAAATCACTTGTTCTTTCCTCTGTTTCTTGTTTTATCAATACCTTTGTTGGCACATACATCACTCAGAAGAACTTCTCAGTGTGTTCTTTGCTGTATTGGAAATTGGCGCGGTGGGCTTTCAAGAAAACAAATGTTGACCCTTGCATTTTTATAAGGTCATGGTGTGACTTAGTTTAGGGGCAAATGTTTTCCTCTCTTGGGCTGGCCAAGCAGTGTCTACACATTACTGCAGAAGCAACCCCAGGCTGGCCGACGCACCCGTGTGCACACACGTCTTTCTTGTGGCTGGCAGCTCCGCCATAGTGTAAGCCACTATTGAGCGCCAAAGAGAATATATTCAATTTTCATGGACCTTAAACAGTGAAAACCATGTCACCCAACTGTAATATGTTGGCTTTTTTTTTTTAATGTGGCTCTAATCATGGCAGACCTTGATGTTTATTTCTTAAGCATGGTAGGCCTTACTCTTTACACTTAGTATTTTTAGAAGGATCAGTACTCTTGTTTAACTTAAATGGAATTATGTATATTACAGCTCAGTGATACCAGAATAGTATTAATGTTTTATTCTATTTCAAATACTTACAAAGCTTTTACTATAGATTATATTGCTGATACAATGTTTACAGCCTTCTGATACTGAAAACCAGATATATATATACACTGTTAGAGAACATGAAGAATATGTTTTCCTTCTAGAACTTTGTAAAAATTTCACTTAGACATTTACATTACTGAATAGAATTAAGTCTAGAATTCTGTTTATACTCCAGGGGAAAGAATGTCTGCATTTGTTTCCTGGCTAAAAAAATCTGGTTACACATGTAACACTGCAATGCCAATACTGAAAATTTGTCTCTTGCCTAGCCTTTTTATTGTCTCATGTGCAGGAATTAAATTTGAAAGTACTGCTTGAACATGGTTGTGCTAACTAATGTCATTACAGGAGCAGTAATTTTACCTGCTTCTGGATGACAGTATTTCTAAAATGCAGAAATAGGTTAGACTCAGTTGTTTGAGAATAAATTAAAGAAGGACTATGAGAGAAATTATGAACTCAGAGGCACTTTCGGATCTTTATTGTTTAGAAGCAAAATAAATACAAATAGGCTCTCAGCTGATATAATTTGTTTAAAAAGAGGTTTATTCTAGTATTTGTTGCAGTGGGATTATCTGTCAAGTACTGAAAATATTTCTGTATTTTCTTGAGCCCATAGGTGAAACAGAAGTGTAGAAATCCATTTTTCAAGGATTGCCGTTGGCTTTTTTTGAATTTGAGATATATTCGCATACCATAAAGTTCACTCTTAAATTGTACAGTTCATTGGTTTTCTTATATTTGTAGAGTTATGCAACCATTACCACTGTCTAACTCCAGAACATTTTCATCATCCCCCAGAGAAACCCCATGCCCATCAGCAGACAGCCCATCCTTCGTTTTCCTCAACCCAGGCAGCAGTTTTACCTGTTTCTGTCACACTGGCATCTGGCCATCTCACAGAAATGGAATCAGACAACATGCGGCCTTTGGTACCAGACCACTCAGCATGTTTTCAGAATTCATTTATGTTGTAGCGTGTGTCCTCTTTATGACTGAATGCTCTTCCATCGTGTGACTGTTCCATATTTTATCTGTTGACCAGTTGATGGGCATTTGGCTAATACAGTATGCTGCTGTGTGCATTCATGTACAAAGTTTTGTATGGACGTGTTTTCAGTTTTCTTGGATGTATATAGCGAAGAGTAGAATTGCTGCATCACATGGCAACTCTGTTTAACCTTTGAGGAACTGCCAAGTGGCTAAACCATTTTACATTCCTTCCAGCAGTGTTTTGAGGACTCCAGCTCTCCCTGTCCCTGGCAACACTTGTTATGTATGCACATCTCTTATTTTGGACATCTCTGTGTGTGTGTGTGTGAGTGAGTGAGAAGAGGGATCTCATTGGGGCTTTGATTTCTATTTTGCTAATCATGTTCAACATTCTGTTCATTGGACCATTTATATGTATTCTTTGGAGAAATATCTGCTTAGATCCTTTACCTGCTTTTACATTTGGCTTTTTTTATTGTTGAACTATAATTCTTTAGTCTGACTGCTAACCCCTTACTAGATAGATGATTTGCAAATATTTTTTGCCATTCTGTGTTCTTTTTTACTTTCTGGATGGTGTCATTTGATACATAAAAGTTTCCATTTTGATATAATTGTTTTTTGTTTCTTGATTTTTTTTTTGGTATTATTGTTGCATCATAAAAACCATTGAAGATCCTAAATATTTACATCTTCCCCCCCTACTAGTTTTAGCAATTATATTTACATCTGATACGTTTTTTATTTTTTTATATATGGTATAAGGTGGGGATCCAATTTTATTCCTTTGTGTGTCAAAATCCAGTTGTCCCAGCATCATTTATTGAAGATTATTTCTTCATTGAATTTTCTGGCCACCTTTTGTCATCACTTATCCATAAAAGTACAGGTTTGTTCATGAACTCCATTCTGTGACTGACTCATAGGCCTGTCATACCAGTACCACATTGTCTTCATTCCTGTGGCTTTGTATTGCATCTTAAAATTGACAAGTGTGTTTTCTGGCTTTTTCCCTTTTTTTTAAAAAAAAGATTTATTTATCTATGCACACAGAAGTAGTATAAGCCAGAGGTGCAGGGACCATGAGAAGATTCACCAGAGACAGAGCGGGGAGCAGAACAGGCAGATCATGAAGTCCACTGCTGAGGAGAACAGCGGGCGGGTCAGGAGAGGTCTGCCACGCCCTGTGGTCACCTCCGGGGCAGGCGGGGATCGAATTCGCACTGCAGCAGGGGCTCCGCACGGCAGTGCTGGGTCCTAAGCCATTGTGCCACCAGGGAGGGCCACGTTGTTCCCTTTTAAGATTATTTTGGCTATCTTGTTCTGGTTCTCTTGCATTCTATATGAGTTTCTCAGATGTGCCCAAAAAAGCTCACCAGAAAAAGTATTGAAATTTACACTTTAAAATCTTAGAGTGTTATAGAGGAGAGGGACTGTCAAATCTAGCTCAGCACACATTCGTATTAAATGAGCAGGCCTGTGGAAGGGAACGGGTTTTCTTGAGAGTCACATAACTGGTCAGGGACTTGACCCCAGGCTTATAAATCCATGTCCTGCCAATGGGGAGGGAGAGCGGGTAAATGCCACTTTTCTACATTTTTTGTTGTTGTTCTTGTGTACTTCTAGATATTTCATCACAAGGTTATAATCCTTTAAATATTAATGGACTGATAATTATCTCACATGATATAGAGATGAGTTACTCAGTGATTGGGAGAGAGACTGGTTGTTTAAGTGGTAATAGCTCCCTGCTTCCCCAAGGCTCCCTTCTCATTCAGCTGTTTCCTACCTGGCACAAGTTTGTAAGTGAAGGTGCAATGGAAGTAGAGAATCATTACTCACACCTGCTACCTTGGCAGGGCGCAAGGAGAGGCGTGGTTTCTTTAGCTCATTATAACCACCTCAGTTGTGTTTACGAGGAAATACCAACAGTGACCAAAATAAGTGGAAAACCCCCAACTCGCTGGAAGTGAGGACACTTTTGCCTCTCCCATCCTGCACCCCTAGCCCCAGCTCTGTTTTTTGGTACTTTTTCATTTGCTATTTAGATATTTCGGTTCTTGAAGTCAAAATATGTTTTTAAGGAGCAAAATGGAAGTTTGAAGAGTTTTAAATCTCATAGCTAGAGAACCAAGAATACATGGACTTTTGTGAAATTCTAAGAGGCCATGGACTCCTCGAATTATTCCAGAGATACCTCGCTATCCTTTCCGTTTGACCAGGCTCCAACCCGGGATCAGGCATGCATTTAACGTGCTTTCCCTTCAGTCTTCCACAGCCTGGAGTGTCCCCTCAGTACTTCCACCTCCCCTTCTTTCAAATAAAATCATTTTAATAACTGGTAGGAAATAAAAGAGTCAAATACATTTGAACTTGTCCCCCTTCAAGGGGCTGCAGCCAGGGTCGCCTCCCAGGATGACCAAAGGCGGGTAACATTGGATTGCAGAGCAAGGGAGGGGTTCAGGCTCACAGGTGGGAGAGCTCGGGTACTGGGAGGCTGAGTGCTAACAGGTGGCAGAGAGACAACATTTCAGGGGCCTCGGGACAGGGTGCCATCACTGGGTCATGATCACCTGGAAGCGTTTCTTGATGGGTATTGGGTATTGAGAGCATTCGTTGGTTGGGAGCCGGCATGCTGTCCCCTGGGCTGTGGGCCTGCTCACTGCTTGCTGAAGTGGTAACTGCAGAGACGTGACCCTCCCCTGATTTTTTTTAGTGACCGATGTTTCTGAACTGGGCCTGCCAATTGCTTTGTAGAAGGACCTTACTTGGTTTGTCTGAGGTTTGCGTTTATGCACTTTGACAGCAGCCCCAGAGAAGTGACGCTGTGTTCTCCGTACTGGGTCAGGAGGGGCAGTGTTGATTTCTCCCGTGACTGGTGACGTGAGTGTTTAATAGCTGGGTAGGTCTGCAAGATCTCACTATGCAGTGAGTAAATATTTTGCACTTACTGGTTAATGAGGAATGAGAATTTTGTGAGGAGCTACTTTGAGACTACCTGCAATCTAAAACCCAAAACCCGAGTGTCAGCATCTATTCATGATTCTTTCCTGAATCAGTGCCAGGTGACGCTTAAATCGCGGCTTCTACATTTTATTGGCACTTTGTCTTTTCTCCTACTTCTTTATATATCACTGTGAAGTAGACTTTCATAATCTACACACTAGCATTTATTCCGATGTTCCAGTTTTCCTACATTTGACTAGTGGGAGCACTGACGTGTAATTTCGACACGCCATCAGGGTTTTTTAATTGAGGTAAAAAACACAACATTAAATTTATCATCTTAACCGTGTTTAACTCTACTGTAGTGTTAAGTATCATGTCTTGGAACAGAGCTCTACACGTTTTTCCAGCAGCAACACCGAAACCCTGAATGCACTAAAACTCTTGCTCCTCTCTCCAGCCCTTTCTAACCACCTCTCTTCTTTCTGGTTCTATGATTCTGACTGCTTTAGCTGCTCCCTGCGTGGAATCAGAGTTTTCATTCTTTTGTGACCAGCTGGATTCACTTACAAAATGACCTGGTGGTTCAGCCATGTCATGGCATTCCTGCATTTCCTGCATTTCCTGCCTTACGAAGGCTGCTTCCAGTCCACGATCCATCCTGAGGTGGCTCATGTTCTTCATCCTCTCATCTGCTGATAGACACTTGAGCTGCTCTGAGCCTTGGCTGTTGTGAATCCTGCTGTAATAAACAGGGTTGTACAAAAGATCTCTGCAAGATCCTCCTTCCAGTTCTCCTGGATACCTATTCACTGGGACTCCTGGATGCTTTTAACAGTTCTTTTAATTGTTTAAAAAGAATTAATCCTTTATTGTATGATTTTTATCTTAGTCATTTTGCATAGAAGATCGAGGGTATAGCCAGAGGTTGGAGAGGGGTGGTGAGAGGATAGCAATGTATGAAACAGTGGGGAGCAGAACAGGGAGATCACTGAAATACACTGCTGAGGGGAGTGGGGTCGACAGGTCTGCCGGACCAGGTGGATCAGCTCCCTGCCGGTTCGAACTCAGGCCCTTGCTGTCATAAAGCAGCGCTGTGACAATCCCGTGGCCACCAGAGAGGCCCCAGAAGTCAATTATTTGAGGCGCTTCCTACTGTTCACCACAATGGCTACCTCTGCCCATGGCTCACACAAGACTTCCGGGTTCCATCTTGCCTTTTCTCTCCCGAGCCCTGGGGTAGCCGTGTTTCTATAAAGACTACCCCTCTGTGGAGAATGGTACTTAGCACCAAGGCCTGGGCGCTAGGTTGTGCCCCACTGCTGTGCCATCATTGCTTCACAGTGAAGGAATGTGCATCACAAGTAGATCGTTTCCTCATCTGTCCCACATCTAATTCTACTTCACGCTACAAGGTTTAGTCCGGCTCCCCTACCGCCTTTTTCATATTTGTTCCTCCCGAGCCGGTAGTAAAAAGCAGGGCTCCCATAATCCTCAACGCAGTCCCTTGTCCCCTCTCCCTGTGGCCCTCAGGTTGGCTGCCTTGCGCTGCGCCGACTGCCCACCCCCTGGAACCACCTGCCGGCCGAACCCTGCAGTGGGAGTTTTCAAGAAGGCATCGTCTCCTGTCACATATAGGGTGTCAGCAGTGATGAAGAAAGCACAGGGCTGAGGTTTTCTACTGAGAATGGGATTCCACAACTTTTTGTCATTTTGTTACATTATTTTCCTCATTACTTTCTAGTGTAGCCAGAGTCTGGATCACTGGAAGTTAATGGAAGAGAATAGGAAAGGAGTGGGAAGAGAATAAGAAAGATGGAGAAAGATGGAAACCCAGTCTTTTTTTTTTTTTTTTTTTCTTAAGATTTATTTACTTAGGCCCTCCCTGGTGGCGCAGCGGGTTAAAGCACTGCACTAAGAAACTAAAGCCTCTTCCGCAAGAGTTCGATCCCCGCCTGCCCCGGAGGCGACCACATGGCGAGGCAGACCTCTCCTGACCCGCCCGCTGCTCCCCTCAGCAGTGTGCTTCGTAGATCTGCCTGTTCTGCTCCCCGCTCTGTCCCTGGTGAATCCTCTCACCCTCCGCATCTCTGGCCTGTACCCCAGTTCTGTCCAAATAAATAAATAAATCTTTAAAAAAAAAAATTTATTTACTTAATGCATACCAGAACTGGGGTGGAGGCCAGGGTAGGGGGCAGGGAGGTAGTGAAAGGACTCACCAGAGACAGTGGGGAGCAGAACAGGCAGATGGGCTGAAATACACTGCTGAGGGGTACAGCGGGTGAGACAGGAGAGGTCTGCTGTGCCATGTGGGTCAGCTGCCTGGCCGGGCATGAAACTCATGCTACTATGATAGATTTTTTAAAAAGATATATTTATTTATGTATACAGAACTGGGGTAGAGGCCAGAGGCACAGGGGTAGCAAGAGACTTCACCAGAAACAGTAGGGAGCAGAACAGGCAGATCAACCAGGTACACTGCCGAGGGGAGCAGCGGGCAGGTCAGGAGAGGTCTGCTGTGCCATGTGGGTCACCTCTGGGGCCAGGGATTGAACTCACACCGAAGCGGCTGCCGCCAACTTCAATGCTGCATCCTAACCTGTTGCGCTGCCAGGGAGGGCCCTGCCATGATGTCTTTATAGCTGCCTTTAACTCCTGCGTC